AATTTAGTTTTCCTGAAATACCCACTCCCTCACACTTTCCCCCACCTCTTAAAGATACATAAATATATACACACAGAAATTAGTTAAAAAACAAAACCAAAAACCTTTCAGACCTTCTTTATGCGTCATAAAGAAATAAAAGACAAGAAACACTTTTTTCCATTTGCAGGCAGCTTTTAAGGTCTGTGTTGGTTGGGGTCAAACCATAGTCACTATTAATATAGCAGAGCAGTATAATCCCAGTGCTGACCACTTGTTTTAGCAGGCAATAAATTGGTCTTCAGGTCAACAGTTTTATCTACTGATAGTCCTGACAGATTCCCCAAATTTCCCCAAGAGGCATATTATGCTATGGCTATGCACATCTTATGAATAGGATACCACATGATGGGACACAACTTACCTCTCCAATGGCCAGATACACCACCATATCTACAGTACTGTAGGCAGTCTTTTCTGAGTGAGTAAGGCTATCTTAGGTTTTTTTTCACTTCTGAGAAGGCGAAAGTTCTCTCCTTCCAAGACAGAAACAGAAAGTCTAAAGAAAGAAAGAAACTCCCCACCCCCCCAATGTATTATCCAGTATCACTGCTTTTGTTCTTAATAACTAGCCTCAAAAGTCTTCTGTTCTCCCTGGCTGATTAATCCTTGCTAGTGACCTTAATGTAGAAATTCCCTTCTCCTTTATATCAGAGGCTAATTCCTGTCCCATTTATCAGATACTCCTTTGTTTTTTACAAGATAAAATGTTATTTATCCCTGAATTCAAAGATTTTGCGAAGTCTATCTTCCCACAGCACCAGATGGCAATATGGACTGATAAGCCATTTATCAGGGTATCAGCATACACACTTCAGATAGCACAGTTGAAATGTTAGGATATTCTGACTCCCTGTGTCTAAGACCTATGGCAGGGACCCTAGCCTGTAAAACAGCTGATTAAACCCTCTGCCTAAATCATATTCCCCTTGACCAGACTTTCCCTTAAGCTTTTCTTACACCTCTTTAGTCAAGTTCCTCTAAGCTATGTTCTTGGCTTCTTTTCTACAGGAAAATATCCTAGCTCTTGATGAATTTTTCTAGCCTGGATTGCCCTACTGTAGGACTTTTTTTCAGCAGGGAATCACTGTTGATCTATTTTTTCATCCCAGTTATTGATGATGATGAGCCTCTCAGCACACTAATTACTTTGTTAATACCCTCCTATCATCCACCCCTCTGCCCCCCAACTGAGGCCAGCCTGCCTTCTATGCATCTCCTAGCATGCCTATCTGCAAGTTACCTGCTTGCTGGACCTCCGAGTCCTATGTTCCAGGCAGAAACTAGAGATTAGTTGTAGCTGTGCCTGAATTTTCCTTAAAAAGTCACCACACACACACACACACACATTATATGCAGTACATTTTTATACATAATATTTTACTATTCATCTTCAAATAACTACAATACAAGAAATAAAGCATAATTCTAAAGAAGGCTCCAGGACAGAGCAGAAAATGAAAGGGAAAAAAGACCAAAATAATATATCAGACCAGGACTTGAACACAGATTATTTAATACAATTTGCATCGTCCAAAACACATGTATCTTTTCTCTTTTGAATTACTAGCCTTTTTCTGAAGGGGCCATTCAGATTTATTTAATAGTTTCTCAGCTAAGATATGACAGCATTTATTTTTTTCTGTTGTATAAATGGATATTTTTTCCCTCCAGTATGAAAAAAAATGTGCTTACAGTTTTACTGCTTTTATTTTGATTCCAGAATACTGTACATTTCCAGGGATGTTATTGTCATAACTGAAAAAATACAGTACCACTCAAATGTTCACTGGATATTAAAGTATTTATTCACAGTACAGTGAAAGTTGGTTGTGAAAACGAAGGTGTATTGAATATTATGGTAATCATAGTATTTTAAATCTGATTTTTTCAATACTACCATTAAGATGTTAAATAATATATACGAGGATTTAAGTTAATACTGTCATATGATGTCACCTTTTCTGTGCTCCTTCTTTCTTGTTGGCCATCACTAACTGTATCATTTAATTTGTTATTGTCTGAAGCCTATGTTAAGATTACCTAACACTGTGGCACAGCCACTATAGTCACTTGGTGCGCAAATGGTGTATTAGGAGTTCTGCAGAATGTGACTATGGCAACGTGACCAAACTATGGAGATACATTCCCTTTCCTCAAGAGCATTAGACTAGTTAACTAACTTTAAACTGGACTTATAGGGTGTATGTACATGAAACGGGGGTTTAGTTTGGTTTAGTTCTCCCTAAATTGAAATGGTGTTTTTTAAAAAAGTCACTGTTCCCACCATTTCAATTTAGGGAGAACTAAACCAAACTACACCCCGTTGGTATGTACACAAGGGTTAGGGGGCCTGATCCTTAGAGCCTACTTACCTCTCCTATGGTGGGGGGGGAGCTGTCAGTGGGCCAAGCAATCCCTGAGCTGTGGGGGACCCCAGGACTTCCCTCCATAGTGGCAGCACCCCCCCAGGTGGTACCCAGCATGGGCAGTGCCAGAGGGCACTACCACTATGGAGAGAATCACCAGGGTCCCCCACAGCTCAGGAGCTGCATGACCCAGTGGCAGCTCATGCAGACAGGCTAGACTTAAAAAACCCCCCAAAAAAAAGAAGTGGCAAGGAGCTTGATCTTTTTTTTTTCTCCTGGAGTCTGCCTTCCTGCCTGAGTTGTGCAGGGCTCAGTGCTTCCCTCTGCAGCTGAGGCACCCCCTGGGCAACTCCTGGGTATGCTGGCAGCGGGAAAAGACAGTGGGGATGGTGCACAGCCCACCACACCTGAGCTTCACCAAGCACGTTGAGTTCCAACACCCTGTGCACCATTGAACTTTGGTATGTAACAAACTAAAATACCTCAGATGGGTTTTACCTTGCTACATAACAAAATCATTTAAAGCAGAATATGCCACTGAGCATATAAATAGCAGCGCCATTAAAACGGAATATGCAACTGAGCATGTAAATAGCAACACCATTAAAGTGGTGCAAAAGGGCAATTAAGCCACTTTACAGGCCAATTTTGTTGCACGTACAAAGGCCCATAATTGTTGCTCCAATTCAGCCATATAAAAGAACAAGACATAACACTGTAGCAGCTCATCCCCATCATAGTCCTTGACTATAGATGGACATTAACACCCACTTAAATGTTTACCTTAGGGCAGCACTGTACAATGTATCCTTGCATATGTCATACACACACACACGCGCGCGCGCGCGCTACATCTGTGTGCCTGTGTGTATGTCAGGGTGGAATCAGACTTGGAAGAAAGAATTCCGAAGTGCTGCAGGAGGTGGTGCTAATAGTGGTACTATTTCTGTGGAATTGGCACTAAAGCAATGTCAGGTCATGATAGGGACAACATGGTAGTAGTGGTCCTGACTTTTGGATAAGATGCAGAACCTATGTTCTGTTTTCACTGACCGGTCAGGATCCTATGGCACTTGGGACATGTAACTGAGCATGTGTAGACTTCCCTAGATTCGCCTGAGTGAGACCCTGAATTTGGCAGCTGAACCCTGTACCCTGAGGCTTCGTTGTTATGGGTCTTCCATATAGCTAACTTAAAGCACGATACATTTTGCTCACTCACACTATAATCATAGTATAGACCAGCAATTCTCAACTGGGGTGCTACACAAATGGTAGAACTGTTAGGTGTGCAAACTGATTCACAAAGTATCACTGTACTTGAATACTCACTGTACTCAAAGAGATATCATGTCCTCGTGCCCACCCACAGTGGCTGCATTCAAAGGTGAATGAAGGGATCTCTGAAAATGATTCCATGAAGGGAAGATAAATAGGAAATTATGCTCTGTTCATTCTATGGTAAAGTTTTTAAAAAATTGTACTGAATTATTCATCACTAAGGTGCCAACTGTATTTTCTTCCCCTGTGAAGGAGTGGCAAATTTTGAAACATGATTACAGGAACATCTGTAATTCTGTTTTATCTTGTTTACTGTAGTAGCTTTGGAAGTTACTGGTCAGTAATCTGTGTTTCTTTTCTAGAGTCACTTTGTGTAAGAAATGGTTCCAGGTGCCTGTCAAACTCTTGCCAAAAGAACTCTACATGTGATGCTGCTGCTAAGGGTGATAGTTGCCGTTGTTCAGACATCTCAGTTGACATTTTGGGGGAAAACTGCAATAAAACCTATGATCCTTGCTTCTCAAGCCCTTGTCTTCAAAATGCTACCTGTTTAAGCACTTCAGGAAACCTCAGCTTTACTTGTGAATGCCCTGCTGGCTACAGTGGAGCTACCTGTGAAATGGCCATCAGTATGTGTGACACAAACTTTTGTCAACATGGAGGCACTTGCCAGAATGGGATGGATGGTCTTACCTGTCTTTGCAGTGCAGGGTACACAGGTACATTCTGTGAAACTGATTTTGATGAGTGCATTTCGGATCCTTGTCACAATGGAGCAGTGTGCAGGGATGGAATCAATGGATACTCCTGCTACTGTGTCCCAGGCTACCAAGGCAAGCATTGTGACCTAGAAGTGAATGAATGTGCTTCAGATCCTTGCCTGAATGGAGCTACATGCCTGAACCAGATAGGCACGTATGACTGCATCTGCACACCTGAGTACATGGGTAAGCATCTCTCTCATTTTGGGCTGTACAGCTATTGTGTTTTATGTGCCAGCACATATTTCTCACTATTTATTTACTCGTTGACATTACAAAATTAGGTCAAGCTGTCTACTGAGTGTTGCTTTTTCTGGGTTATCACTTTACTGTAAGCCAGGGATGCTAGACATGGGAGGATCAGGAAAGTTTTGTACTTTGTAAAATCTAGAAATTGTTTTGACAAAGGTTAAATAAGCCTCTTTATAGACTTTGAATAACTTTCCCCTTAAGACAATTTTCTTAAATTGAACACACTTGGGGTGCTATGTGGTATGTTTTGGTATTCAGATAAAATCTACCTGCTATATCTTCTTACACAGAGTATTTAAAAAGTTCAGATTTAGATACCTCTCGACTGGGTGGATCTGCTAATTACAGCAAGCAGCACTCTTTGGCCTTGGCACTTGCCCCTCAAGATCATTTTCTGCTTCTTCCACAGCCCTTTATTGTAATTTTTTCCCGTGCTAAGAATTGCTTACTCAGTTGTTTTAAAATGCCTTACTCCATCTCTCTGTCTCCCTATACTCATTTGCTCCCCCACCCCCACAACCAGACACACACACCTGACAGTCCTCTTTCTCCTCCTCCATTTGCCTGACCTCCAGGCTAACTTTGCCTCTCTATAGACCTTTCTAACATACAGTACTACAAATGACATTGCCTCATGTATTATTATTATTAATGACTAGCTTCTTTCTGTTGAATTCTGCTAATGTATGCAACCTATTGGTGTGACATATTGTGTCTATAACCCCTTCCACTCATTTTCTTCTATCACCTCTTAACCAAACACCTCCATTTTATTATGTGACTGACTCCCCAATTAAACTTCCTTCCATGAATGAAACCCAAAACTCAGAAGATTTCCTCTAGTGTCAAAATTTGGAACAATAAAATGCACCTTCCTCTAGTTAGTATTCAGGTTGGCTCTTTAAAAGATTCTGACATTTTACATTTTGAGAGTTCTTCTCAATGAACAGGCCTTTGTGCAGAATAATTGTTAGCATTTCACACAACCAGGCAGGACACTTGTGTTCACGTCATTTGCCCACTTCCTCATTTTTCAAGCAGCTTGATGTACGATGTATTGGAGAGGCTCTTTGGTCAGATGTGTTAGGGCAGTGACTGTGGTATAATAATCTAGAAAGTTGATGGACAGCTTGGACAGATTTCTAAAGAAGACCAATGTGTATCAGGTTAGGTGGAGTCCTTTGCCATAGACTAGGGAAATTGATCTTTACCAACAAAAAATTGGTATTTATAGACTAAACTTTTATTTTTCCAAACATATCTGGAAAAACAAACAAAAAATGCATCCATTATGTCTGCAAAATGCATGTCGTTTGAACATTCAATAGATACAAAGATATTTTTGTTCTGGCAGTTTAGCCCAGGTGCTTAAAATGCTTTTATGGTTAATTTCATTGAAAAAACTATAATCAATGAACTCATTCATTATCACAATTGGATTTCATTTGGCATCTTGAACAGTGCACTTAATTAGACAAGAGGCAAAAATATCACATTTTCCTGATAACCATACTACACACAGATACATTTAAAGTGCATGTGTTAATAAATAACCAAGCCATTTTTCTTGCTTACTAGATAATTTGCTCTGTAGAAAGTGTATGTATGGTTCCAGGTCATTGTTTTAGGTGGCAACCATATTTAATTCCATCAGTACTTGCACACACATTGCAATCCTCTGTTCTTGAGTGGGATAGGGAGGGGTAGCAATAGGAAAGGAGATTTAGTCACTTATCTTCAGTGAAGTAAGAAAAAAAGGCACTAGACACTGGAAAAACTTCAAAAAAGTTGCTTTTAGTGATTCAAGTGAATAAGAAATGCAAGATGTGGTTTAACTAGCCATCCAAAAGTCCCACAAGGGATGGCAAGTCAGAAGGCAAAAGCAGATTTCCACTGTCTGACATAGAAATCATTTGGAAGCCAGCCCACAGTTAATATCCCTCATGTGCACACAGACTGTTATTTGAAGGAAGCTTGTTGCCTTCCTGCCACCCTGCTGCTACCAGTGGGTGTCTCAGCCCAGGCCAAGTGATGAGAAAGCTACAGAACTGAAGGAAAGCCAAAGAGGAAAAAGAAGGAAAAACCTATTAACAATCAGCATGGCTACTCAAAATGATCAGACTAGACCCAGACCTCCTGTTGTACTCAGGAAGCTGTATTTGTTTAACCTGCACTGTTAGCTAGGTCTAGGGCAAGATGCATCACACAGGAGCTCTGCTTGAAAGAAAGAGAGACTCCTTAGGAGAAAACTTGATAAAATAATAAAGAAAATAAAAAAGTGTGTGTTGGGGGGTAGGAGGGAAGAGAGAGAGAAATGAAGAATTAGAGCAATGCAGACTCCTGGAGGACTGGAGTCACCCTCTTTTATCACAAAAGCCTGTTTTCCAGACAGACTCTCTCTAGCCTTGCCAAATTCATGTAATGTCACCCTGAGTGCTAAGGAATGGAGGAAATAGGGGCAAGCCAAGGAAGAAAAAGAGGTCTAAACTATAAAGAAGAGACTGCAGTGTTTTGACATACAGCTTTGGCATGGCTTCCAGCAGTAACGAGGCTAATAATAATAATTCTATAAAGGAGTAGCTGACTGTTCCTTCAGCAGTAAAATCTCAGCTTTTAAAGGCTGCTTAACCAAATGATTTATCAGGAGCTGTTTTTGTTGTTTTCTGCACCTTGCTGTGAGTTGTGTTAAATGCACAAGCCAGAGGGATTATTGGATGAAAGCCCTGAGGTGTCCCCACTGGTAATAAAAATCCTCATTTACCCTGTCAGGGGATCTTGCCAACCGTTATTATCCTGGCCTGACACCATGAATCACTGTGGGAAGTCATTCAGCTTCATCTCATTTCCCTAGGATGTTAAAAAGGTTATAACTTTTGATATGTAGGTAGAGAATGAACAGTAAATCTACAGCAGTAATGTTAACCAAATGCTTGAGTTACTGACTTCAGTTGCTACTTGTTTCATGGGCTATCACTGCTATTTTGCATGATTGGTATGCTGCATGCAATGCCTAAAATAGCTGAGAAATATCTAACATAATTCTTAAACAAGTGGAGAAGTTAGACTGCATGAAGAACTGAAGAATGGAAAATTTAGCATGAAATCCATAGATTACTGTGATAATGCACCGAATATATGAAATTATTTATAGGACGTGTCATGCAGCTGTTAAATAATGAAGCTCGTTTGGTTTGTGAAAGCTTCACTAGCCATGCAGGCCAAATGCAGTATTTATCCATTGTATTAATTGTACTTTCATTTCACTTAACCAAACAGAATAGAGAACCTGGTGCTTGCTGATACCGCCTCACATTTATTATCTTGCTGGACACAACTGAAGCCAATTTCCCATTACCAGCTGGTTAACACTTAAGTGTAAATTATCAAAGGGGTACCCACAATTCCAAAAACAAATCCCATTCAGAGGCAATACCTGCCTTTTAAACAGAGAGAGCTGTTCTGATGGGTTTCAGTGACAAATAATGGATATAAGAAGACAAATTCATCCTAGGTGCAATTCCATTTACTACCATTGAATTACAGCTAGGATACATTAAGCACAATACAAGGATATTGTAGCTTCCCTAAACTACATCTTCAGCTTCTTGATCCTGTCTTTCTGTATTGAGGTAGTTTTCCAAGAAGTAGTGGACATGTTATGTGGATATTTAGTGTAGGTTTGTAACATCCCATACCCCTACCCCGCCATGTTGTTTAAAGCTGCTGCAACATTTTGATGCATGAGACATTCTCTACTTGTAATGATCTTTGGCTGCAAATATGGATCAGTACTATTGATTGTTATTAATACAGATACATAAGCAGCACTTACTTATAATTAGCTAGTGTCCCTAAAACAAATAACTCCTCCACTTGAGCTAAGGGTTTCTGTATTAATTTTCCAGAGTGGGGAGGTAGGATCCTCCTTATCAAGTCAGTTGCTACAGGTTAGATTAATGATTCTCAACTAGTGAAAACATGATTCACAAGATAAAATCAGAAATTTCAAATAGGAATCCATTGGGTTAAAATTTTCTGAACTATTGTGGTCTTTCTGAGTTCTTTTCTACTGATTAATATTGCTCTATTATTTGTTTTAATAAAAAAAATTGAGTGAGCTGACATTTTCTGAATGGTATCTTGAATCTACTGAGGGTGCATTGAGTCTATCAAGGGACATTTTGAGTCTAAAACGGTTGAGAACCACTGGGTAGATATGTGACATTTCAGACAGATGACAGGAGTTGTACTCATACATACAAGCCAGGATATGATATTTTGAAATTCCTTTTTCAGGCAAAATGTGATACACCAGCCAAAGTTTTCAAAATGGGCATTTATGGTCGGTCATTTGATCAGCTGGCCAGCTTTCCAGGTATTCTGTGCACCCACAACTCTTACAGGAACCGAAATGAGATGTGTGACCATCCCGTCTCTCTGAAAATCAAGTCACGTACTTAGGAGCTTAAATAGGGACTTTAGTACCTATATGTAAGACAATTTGAAAATCTTGGCTATGATACCTCAGGAAAGCCCAGCTAAGTATTTGCTGTCCTTCCTGTTTTTCCTTTTGGCTGATTGAGACTATGTCTAAAGATGAACACTTGATTTCATTTTTTTAACTTATATAAACATATATAAACCTATATAAATATAGACATAGTGGCCCTAATCGTTCAAAATATTAAAAACACATGATTCAGTTGAAGGATGTGAACTCTCACCGTGATTTTAATCCAAACTACTCATGGTCTTTGCTGGATCCGGGTCTAAATGTCCATGCCTGTATGGATATAGATCTGTATGTTGCTATATTTCCATTGTCTTTTTACGACAAACTCCAGCTTATTATTACTGTATTTCAATTGCCTCTTTTACAGTCTTTTTACTTATGGCAGCATTTTAAACCTTTAGAAACCTTTCTTTTTCATGTG